AATTTACCATAACTCATAAAAACTTAATGTTTTGATCATGGAAATACTAGTAATGCTATATCATTTTGTAATTTTTTAATCTTTAATCGGCATAAACTATATATTAAAGTTTATTATTGTAACATTTCTTAATTTTTTTAAGGGCTTCTAAGGGTTAATACGCAAAGAGCAAACACTTTCTTGTATTTTTTTTATTTGTTTGTTTGTTTGGAGTTTTTTTGTGATATATATTTTTTCTAAAAACAATATTTTAAAAATATCATTACTATACTATGAATGAACATTATAATATTGAGAAACAAATGTCAATGTTTTAATTAATAAAATCTGTAGAGAAATAAATAAGTAAGATTTATACACCTTAACCTCTTTATTTGATCAATTTAAACAATTCACAGATAGCATTCGAGTTCATCCGTCCGATAGAGGGTAATACGATAGAAAATAACATACGAAGTTATTTACGTCCTACACAGGCAACTTAGCCACATATGATTCTCATATGAGCACTGTTAGAATATGCATATGATTCTCATATGCAGGGCCTTTCATATGATAATCATATGTAAATACAATCATATGATAAACATATATGTAAACATATGATTCTCATATGATTGGCCAAATATGATTATCATATGATTGTATATACGTATGATTCTCATATGATCCATATATGATCTTCATATGAAAGGCAATGCATATGTGGATCATATATGGCTAAATTGCCTATGTGTAATCGTGTATTCTCATAGGCAAATTTAGCCACATATGATCCACATATGCATTGCCTTTCATATGAGGATCATATAATCATATGAGAACCATATGTAAAACATATGAAAGGCCCTGCATATGAAAATCATATGTATATTTTGACAGTTGTCATATGAGAATCATATGAAACTGATCATATGAGAATCATGTAAAATTGCAAGTTCTCAAATATATATATATATATATATATATATATATATATATATATATATATATATATATATATATATTAATTTAAATGTAGATTAATTCAAAAGAATTTGTTAGCAATTACTTATGTGAAGTTCTACTCTGATTTACTACCCCCCCCCCTTTCCCTAAAAAAAAGCGTTCACAATTTTTTTTTCTGTAATAATGTACTTCCAAGATAAAATTAATAAAGAATAAATTAATTTGCTTTTATTTCAAATCTTTTGTGTTTGGTTTATTACTTGAGTAAGATAAAAAAAAATCTGTATTTTTTTCGGACCGGTTTTTATTTTTATCGGATAAAAGTGTACGTCATGTTTGACGACACTGCTGCAACAGAAGTGCTGAGTGTTGGAAAAAGTAAGTTATCTCCTAAACTTTTTTTTTACAAAGACCTTTAATTCATATTGTTTAGATATCCTTTCATTACGGTTACAGGTTCGTATGAACTTATTTCTATATTACTCTCTACAATTGTTGAATTAATGCATTTCGCAAAACTACACTGTAATGTTAGTGATCTGTAAGTATATTTTGGATAAATTTGTTTCTCATTGGATGTAAACATTACAATTTACGTGTTAGGCTAAAGGTATTACTTTGTTTTCATTTTGTTTTGACTTTGTTACGTACTAATTTGAAAGTGAAAGTTGAAACCCTGTATAGGAGTTGACGTTTTGTATGTTGAGATCGTTATCAAGTCGATTCTTTCATCGACTTAATGACAAATGTTTGTTTCTACTTGAGTTCAGTGTCACAGTGCTGCTTTTTTATGAAGTCCACGAAGCCCAAAGCTAGTAAGACTGTCAATTGATCCTAAAGCTGATTCTGACAGACGATTGCACCATCACGATATTAAAGGTAAAAATATTGCAATAAAAAATGAAAGTGTACATCTGTAATGACTCCTTTATGACAAAATTTTTCTTGATAATTTCTTTTTGTTCCTTTATAATTCTACATTGTTTGCACAGCTTCATCAAAAATAAATTCAACTCGATAATATAAAAGTTTTATTCTACATTATGAAACAATTTTAATAGTAAATGCACTTTTTAAATATGGAAAGTATGAATAGAATTTTCTTGCTTTAAAAGCTATGAAACTATGCAATTACTTCAGGGGATAAATTGAATTTTTGAATTTCAGCAAAAAATTGATAATAACAGTGGCAACTTTCAAGGTACAAATACATGTGCATGTAACTATGTGTTGAAAGTACATCAGATAGTTAATCCATTGAATATTTACATCTATGTATTCAGTGACATTTATAATTTTTTCCAACACTAGAGAAGCTAGTTTCAGTTAAATTTTTAGATATTTAGGACAATTGAGAATCTACAAACGTGTACTCTCTCTTTTTGTAGTTTAAGTTTTAGATATCATATGCTTAGAAAATATCTACTGTGTGAGTATTTGTTTTACAGGTTCAATAAACAGTCAGCCTCTCATAAGAAAAAATCCAAAGATCAAAAGATTGCTTCAAAGTTAAGGTAACCTACACACTGTTCAATAGACTTTGTTATATTCTTCCCAACAAAGTCTGGGATATCCTTAAATCACAGAGTCTGTTTTTTCTGCCTATTTGTGACAGAATCTTCTTAATTTTTAGCAATATAAATTAATATATATTATTTGAACATTCCAAATTCAATTGTCAAATAAAAAAATGCCTTTTTAATGATTTTAATATGAAGCATATCTTCTAAAAATGTAATTGTCTTGCACAATTCAATTCAATTGTCAAAATTAAAAAAAAATGCTTTTTATAATTTTATTATGAATCATATCTTCTAACAGTGTAATTTTCGTGCAAATCACATCATAGGATTCCACAAAACACATTGTATAACATATATAACATAAGTTTTATCTCATATCAAATCTGTGTCGCTGAATTGGGAATACGTTTGTTTGCTGATGATAAGTACTATTAATATAACTTGTAGAGAATTAGGAATACATTTGTTTGCTGATGATAAGTTATTTTAATATAACTTGTATAATTGATTTTGTAATTTTAGAATCATTTTATTTTTATTTTTTATATTTTTTTAGAGACTATTCTGTGGCATAAAGAAATTGTTTGAGAAGGCGAGAACTGGTGGATTTGCATTTTTGGTACAGTTCAAAGAGATTTTCAAAATGGTCAGATCAGAGGGAGGACAACTGAAAATAATGGAGATACAGAAGGAAAAAGAACAAGGAAATATATAGAATAACTATGAAATGGGGAGGATGTACACAACTTTGTCTGAATTTGACCTGTAAAGATTTCCCATTCTTATATGTATGCTGGAATATCAAATAACTTGATTTTTCATAAATTTATAATAGAGAATACATGACAAATGTTATTGCTGATGTTTCAATTTTGCTGTGGACACTTTCATGTCATATGGTATTTTTATACAAGTACATGACCTAATCATGTTATTCATTTGTACATGTATATATATTTAACTACTTTATCATTTTGCTGAAATCTTATAATTTGTACTCATTTTAGAATATGTTAAATACATGTATCGACAAATGCTACTGACTTGCTTGTATATTCTCTTGTTTAGAATGTACACTGTGAAAAAAATGAGTTATGTCTCTTGATGAAAATAACTTTATCAAAAAGCTGCGTAAGCATTAAAAGATATTTTAAATATGTAACCAATGAAGATGGATCATTGTAATGTAATGAATTTTCATCTAAAGCAGAAATATCTGATTTTTAAATGTGTACAAGAAATGTGAAAAATATTGAAAGAGAACACACACAAGTGTTTCATATGATTTACATATGATGCCCTTTTCATATGATTCTCATATGTAAATGGCTTGAAACACACATAAGTGTTTCATATGATTTACATATGATGCCCTCTTCATATGATTCTCATATGTAATTGGCTTGAAACACACATATTATTCATATGAAAATCATATGTAGTTATTTTCATATGATTCACATATGTGGATCATATGTAAATCATATGAATTGCTTCATATGATTCACATATGATGCCCTTTTTCTATGATTCTTATATGAAACCAATCATATAAGAATCATATGAGAATCATATGTGGCTAAGTTGCCTGTGTAGTTTATATTTTTTAGGAGCACGATCGAGAAGAAAATGTGACAGTATTACAAGAACAACATAAACGTGTTAACAAATGCAAAAAGTAATTTATAACAATACGCTTCAACTGTGCATTTTTTAACTTCAATAAAAAGTCTGTGTGCTGTAAACGAGCGTAAAAGTAGCATGCTCTGTAAAGCATGTTTTAAGAAATTAATATAGCTTTCTTTATTTAAAAAAAAACACGGAAAACACCAAATCTTTGTACTCGCATTTATTACAAAATATGTAAAGTTTTTTTCTGGAGAGTTTGACTGGTTTCAAGGAAATAGTGTGCTCACAATAAAACTTGACTTGTGGTTCAGGAAAAGCAACGATCAAGTGTGCAAAGGCCCGTATAACGCGGTAGTACTTTTTTTCCGAGATTAGGTCAATAGTAACCTTTTATTTAGAACACCACACACACACACACACACCCTCACTTCTGGCATTTCAGGTTTCTTTTTTGGAAAAGTTAACCAAAACTAATATCCCACCCCCATCACACACATTTTTTTGAGATCGGAACATCAGAACAATTACGATATTTTCAGGGGGGACAGGTTTTTGTAAGACCTCCCCCTCGAGATTTATACCATTTTTACTGCATTAACTGTAGTCTCCAAAAAATATTTTTACAAACCGGTCTACCAATATATATTTTTTCGGAGAGCTACAGTACAGTTTTCAGCTACGGGCTGGGTACATTTGATATACATATATTATGTAAGGTCCACGTTAAAAACTATATATTAAGGTGTACAAACTGAAATGAGCCTTCTTCAAGTACAATAGATTTTTCAACGATAAATCACGAAAACTTTTGAATACTTATTTATGCAAAACTGTGTTTCAATAACACTGCATTTGTATATTTAATTTAACTCGTATTGTGTTCGGACGTATAAAAATCAACTGTGACCGAAAACAAATTTCCTCAAAAGGAATACAAGGTTATTATACCGTAAAACAGTTTATTGCAGTTTTTTTTCATTTCAAGAAAAAATGTTTACAGGACTTTACTGCATATTTTACATTCTTATGGCAAAATGTATCCTCCATTATGAAAACATTGAGCAATTGTAATTTGCACTTTTATAAGGTTTTTACAAGACGTTCTTGTAAAAAGCATCCTGTCATGAATCATGACCTCGTTTTCGTATTTCCTGTTTGTTTACTAACGCTTAAATCAAAAATTTCTTTGTAGATGGTCATGAAATCGTTCTCTTATCTGCAAGCTATCGCTGTTTTTGTATTTTTGGCTCATAGTACGAATATATGTAAGTATAAAATTAATAACATCAATATGACATATAAAGAAAATCATCTCTTATTTGATAATGACAAAATAATGTTTTCATAGCTGATTATTTTAAGTGAATTATTATTCAGTATTCATGAAGGCCTAAAGAAGATACTCATTTACACTAAATTGACGATGGTTTTTCCGATTATTTCCCCAAATCATGACAAGGAGCACAGGATGACCGGTCGGCAGGGGATGCTCACTCCTCCATAGCAACTGATCTGACTTCCGATGTTTTGGAGGTCTGTGTTAGCTCTGCTCCAATTTTGTATTGATTAAAGATTTTTTATCTTGAATTCTGTTCATTATCTCTATGTTTCATTACAATCGGTCGCTGTACGAGGTATTTGCTAACCAGACCTGATGTTAAAATGAAAAAGTTCAAGATTTCAACAGTGCGTGTACAGTGAGAGGTCCTTTTCCTTTTAAAGGTGCAAGGACACAGATTTGAAGTTAAAATTTTCTGTATAATATTACGACTTATATATTTTAGTAGCATTTTACACAAAAATAAATTAAAATTTTCTGATATCCAAAAGTTATTAAAACTTAGAATTTTTAGACTGGTTTGATTGACACATCCTTGCACATTCACAAATTTTATTCTTAATGCTTAGGAAAAGTGCCAGTCTTGTTGAATATAAATGAAAAATATAAAAGTTTTAATCCAGGTGTAATGTAGGTTAATTCGTTGCAAGTGGGATAACCAAGCTTGCCTAAGGATTTCCCTACACAGCCCCACCCCCGCTTCCGTCTCTAAGGGGTCTCCCTTGGCACCTCGCAAATGTAGGACCAAGGGAACATCTTAAAGAGCATGTTGCAGAGCCCACCTGAAGGTGGACATCTGCAATATTAATGACCTCTGCTTAAGAGAAGCCCGTTCAAAATGTAGACCCACCTCCTCCAGAGGCCCCAACTTTTGGTTTTTGAGCAGCTCCCCCAACTGATGGTAATAAAAGTCATTATACTGACTGGCCTGTTTAGCGTACACTCCCACTGCCACCTTCCAGGGGATATGGGATAACTGCTCTTCTAGCTGTTGGCTTGTCGGCCAATACTTAAGGTCACAGTATACAACCGCCCCCCCCCCAACTACCCTAACAGAGACTGTTGGAGCTGGGGATAATGCCCTACTTATGACTGAGGAGGCCGTTAGCTGTAAATTCCCAGCGAATCTGTTGCGCACTCTGTCATGGTGCCATTTGCTGATATCACTGTGATATACGCGAGCCAACGACAGAGGTGAATGTATGAGCCGATGGTAGAGAGTGAACCGATGGTAGAGAGTGGGCGCTATCATGAAATAGCGCTACATGTGTCTTGATTCCTTGTTTTTTTATTTATAAATTACTTTTCGCGGCATTCGTGAATTAGCGTATCGTAACACAATTCCTTATGAAGGGATATGGTTAGTTTTTAAAATATGTTCATTTCCAAGGATTAGTAAATATAAATCCTTATTGAACCAAACTATGTTGTATACTGTATACTAACGATGAAAAATATAAGAAGATACTGCAGTTACTAAACAATTGATTTCCTTAACAATATTTTTTATCAGAATAAAATTATCTTTAATCTCAATGAAGAGTTCATAAAATATCTTTATTAAAAAGACCGGGGGGGGGGGGGTGGGTCGAGAACTTTTTGTCAAGAAATCATTCATCCATACAACCAGCGTTTAAAATATGATGCACGATTAAAATTAAAGGAGTGATGAGCTCAATAATTGAATAATGAACTTTCATGAGATGTTGCACACATCAAGTTTTTAGTGAGCGTCTCAGAGAAAACCATGCAAAACATTTCACAAGCAGGGTTTATGTATTAAGTAGGCTCATTACACCTCTTTTTGATGACGTACTACACAAAAAAAGAAACCTCCATTGTGTCGACCGGTTTGCTCAGGGGACGAGTTGTATAGGTACCTCTATAATATGACCCTGACCTTTAAAACGCTTTAAAAATAGATGAAACATGCGGTGTTGTAAACAGTGAAAACAAAGTAACGGATTCATTATTCATAGACCAAGAAGAATTGCTTTTAGGCAGAAACAAAAGAAAGCAACAGTCAAATCTTCGCCAAACAAGTAATGTCAATTTCATAGCCATGCATGCAGTGAACTCTATAAATCACTGACATGTATGTATGGAGGAAATTAGAGTTAAAATCTACAACCTTGTTGAAATTAAAATTTTATTTAATTGCGCTATTTACTGTGTTGGTGTTAATTTATATATTTGTTTTATTGATTTAAATGTATGCTCTGGCAATTTAAAGCTTTAATATGAATTTCAGATGTAATGTCAAACGTTCCATAGTGTTTTGAGTCTTGGCTAATTAGGAAAGATAACTCTTGAAAGTGGACTTTTTATACCAAATATTTTTTAAATTGGATTTTTCATTTCGTTTAAACTTTCCTCATTCAATTTGACACATGTAATTCATTGAAATACATTCCTCTTCAGAACACATTTTAAAAATGTTTTATGCATAGATTAAAAAGATAATGACATTAATTGTTTTTTTTGGAGAAAATTATTTTTTCTAATAAAATTATTATTAGGTATTATGAGGTATTTTCACCGTGTGTACTTGTCTTAAGAAGATGCCCATAATTTGACACTGAAAGTTCTGAAATTCTGTGAATAATAAACCTGAAATAAAACATTTCACTAAAATAAAACAAAAACTAAAAAAATTCTATAAAAAATATTAATGATATCAATACCCCCATCTGGATATTTCACATCTACATTATAAGTGGTGCTGTATTGAAATCTAAAATAAACTGGATGTAATGAGCCACCTTAATATCAATTTTTGTGTGCAATATAACATTGATATGTCATCAAATTTGCGACACATTTTAGCTCATCTGAGCTGAAGGCTCAAGTGAGCTTTTATGATCACATTGTGTCCGTCGTCCGTCCGTCTCTGTCTGTCTGTCCGTCTGTAAACTTTTCACTTTTTCGACTTCTTCTCAAGAACAACTGGGCCAGCAAAGCTGAAACTTATGTGGAAGCATCCTGGTATAGTGTAGATTCTAAATTGTTCAAATGACCTCCAGAGGAAAGGCGGGGCCACAATGGGGAACCAAAATTTTACATAAAAATATATAGGAAAAATCTTTGAAAATCTTCTTCTCAGAAACCACTGAGCCAGAAAAGCTGAAACTTATCTGGAAGCATCCTGGTATAGTGTAGATTCTAAATTGTTCAAATCATGACCCCCGGGGGAAGGGGGGCACAATGGGGAATCAAAGTTTTACATAGAAATATATAGGAAAAAAATTTGAAAATCTTCTCAGGAACCACTGGGCCAGAAAAGCTGAAACTTATGTGGAAGCATCCTGGTATAGTGTAGATTCTAAATTTTTCAAATCATGACCTCCGGGGGAAGGGCGGGGCCACAATGGGGAATCAAAGTTTTACATAGAAATATATAGGAAAAAACTTTGAAAATCTTTGAAAGACTGTTGTTACCCCCAGGTTTGAATTATAATCAATTATCACATCTGGGCCTGTACAAAACGGCAAATATCGGGGTTAAACTATCGTTATCTTGATTAAATAATAAGAAACACACAAAGATTTGTAATTTTGTAATTAAATAGACAGAGACACAAAGGGCTTAATTTCTCGTGAGAAGTATTTTCTTAGTATGTTGTTAAATTTTTCCCTCACCTTTCGATTTGATCCCTCGCCAAGCAACAAAATGTACTCTGAACAAGGATATTGCATACATGTACAATTTTGCTGTAACCTTGACCTTAGACCTAGAAAAATGGCTCAAGGTCACTGCACATCCTGAACCTAAAGACACTCTGTAAGTTACGTATAATCCAGATTGGGCCAAGGAGCAAAATGTGCTCTGGAAAAGGATTATTCTTAGAATTCTGCTTTCACCTTTAGCATGTTTAGATCAAGAAAAATGGTTCAAGGTCACTGTACATTCTTTTCCCAAAGGCACTCTGTAAGTGAAATTTAGCCAGCATTGGCCAGGGTTAGAGAAGATATGCACCGGACAAGACACTTGGGATGAACGGACAGACAAACTGATAACTATAGGGTGCCCACAGAGGGGGCCCTAATGAATCGGAGTAATATAGTACACTAAAAACATAGTGCCGGTATATGCTCATTAAGTTTACATGTACATGATTTCTGGCAGTATCAAATACTTACAGAATATCTAAAACTCTATCTATATCTGTAATTACACTCCCTGTGAAAGTGTCTTGGGAACTTGTAACACCAATAATTATTGAATTGATATCGTTTTAGTATAAGATGAATACAATATACTTATAAAAAGTTAATAAATTCTTTTATTTCATTTTTTTTCTGCAATCAGATATGACTTTAGATCAGAAATAACTAATTAAATTCTTACAAATATAACTCTTACAAACTCATGGTCAATTGTCATAATTCAAATTGGACACAGATTAGATGTAAAGCCTTCAATGTCATGTTTTGTTTCTGATAATCTGAATTCAACGCGATATCAAGTATTGCATTCAAAATGTGGACTTTCATGGGATGTTCTTCCAGTTCTATACCCGTTTTAAAATATTTGAGATGTAAGCTTGTGGACCATTTTTGCCATTTTGCATGGTTTTCTCTGAGACACTCAATTAAGTTGATGGGCCGGACGATCTGTCATTATGTTCCCCAAACGAAGTTGGGGAACATATTGTTTTTACTCTGTTTCTGATTATTATTATTATTTTTCTTCTTCTTCCTGGGTACTTTTTTGTCCGGGAGTGATCTTTTAAATTACACATCCAACTTAGGTAAAACCTTTTTAGGGTCAGTAGGCATGTTATGTAGATTGCGGAACGAAGGTCATTTTGCGCGCACGTGCTTGCAAGAGCGTGCACGTGCAACACGGGAAATGACTGAATTAACAGATATAGGCGCAACTTTTCACATTTTTGATGAAATGCTTTGAAAATCATAATATAAGGATGTATTAGTAGCATAGACAATATGACATGGTCAAAATAGCAAAAACTCACGCGCATGCACGTGCGCTTCGCTCTGATTGGCTGAAACTAAAGTCTCAATATGTTTCTTGCTTTTTGACGAAATCTTTTGAAATTTTGATCATTGCCATACATTAGGATATCCTACAATATGATATATAGCAATGTTCATGAAAACACGTGCATGCACGTGCGCTGCAATCTGATTGGCTTAAACTTTAAATAGCTTAAACTCCCTTGATTTTCAACCAAACAGGGTGGGATTTGGAACATAGATAGATATGATGGACCTCTACAAGAAGGTATGTCACCATGCACATGCATACACGTGCGTGTACATGTGCTGCAATCTCATTGGCTGAAATTTTAAACAGCTATAACTTCCTTGGTTTTCAACCAAACGGGTTGGGATTTAGAAAATAGATAGATGTAATGGACTTCTACAAGAAGGTATGGTCGCCATGCTCATGTATGCACGTGAAATAAATTCAAAAATACACTTGAATGAGCGCATTTTTTAATACTTTTGGATTAATTACTTTAATATTTAGTATATTGAAATATAGATTCTGTGGACAATATGATATGGTCATTACGCATATGCATTCACACGCGCAAGCGTGCAATGCTTAACTTTGAATGAACTTGGTACACTTCTGGGTAAACGTTGTTAAAGTCTCAAATGCATAGAGTTTGTCTTATTTAATGAAGCTTACAGGGGATATGGCACCAAAAGCGAGTTGGGGAGCGTTTGGGGAACATCTGTAACGGTTCCCGTTACAATTAGCACTAGTTTTGTTTTATTTTTAGATGTGGCGTCTCAGGTCGTTATGGGTTTTAGATTAGATTTGCATTATGATATTCTTCATATTGGTGGCACTTATCGAGGAATATGTGATGTAGAAATCCCCCCTGATGATAACATAACAAACGTGGATGCCTATTGGATAGTTAAGAATACGGACTATTGTCACAACGGTCATAAAGTATTGCTAAATAGAAACTACACGTGTAATGCAACTACGGTGCAGAATACAACATCCTTCGAACTTAGAATTCCAGGTACATTGCCATGCTTCTGATCCTTTTTCTGATGCTTTTTTTCATATTGAGTGCATCTAAAATAATTTCTGATGCTACAAACTTTTTTCTCTTATTAGACTTGACATTAGAAGATTCTGGTACATATACTTGTAAAGTAAAGCATTACACAGAACATAGCACGTCAATTTTCTCTGCAAAACATATCACGTCAACTTTTTCTGAAAATATTACAGTCATAGGTAAGTATAAGATTATGCTGAAATAAATGAAAATTCATCAATTTCATCCAGTTTTAAGTTTTTCGTCGTAAAAATGTAAGTTCAGAATGATATTTGCCATTGAATTTTAAAAGAAAGCACTTATTTAGTTTGAAAGTTATTTCATTACGTTATTTAGCACAATCTAATTAAAGTCAGATATCTTGGATTCGTGCGGTATATTCTTTGAGTTAGGCATACACAGAGTGTATACGGCGCGGATTTAGAAGTCTGACTTCAATCAGATTGTTATGAAACATTATCTTTTGCTCTGTATTCAAGTATTGTACGATCAAGTATAATAATAAGTCTAATTTTTTACAGATCCTTCCATCACAACACCACGCAAAACACCAGGTAAAACTTGTGTAATTCTTTAACACTGTTTTCTATTGAAACCTTTAAATATTCCCATCACTATATTTCAATAAATATGCATTATAGATAAAATATATCTTACAATTTTAAGCAGTTCTCTGTGTGCATATATTTTTAATGAGATGTTGGTTGCTTGCAATTGCATTGTGTATCATTAGAGGAAAAAAAAAACTTGTCTACTGTAAATACATTTCTTAATGAGCAATAAACTGTAACTTGAGAGGAGAAGAATGCAGCAGATCAGAGCGATTCGAACCCTCCCCCCCCCCGAAACTCCGGTTAGGTGTTCTACCGACTGAACTATAAGGCCACCGGCCATCGAACCCGACTGATTGCCACAAACCTCCTTCCTTAGCGGTCTTGGGCCCCAAATTATCCTTGGCAGGCCTCTCACCTATCAGTTCCAGGGCATGGCATGGCACGAATTATAACGGGAGAGAAGAAAAATGCAGCGGACAAGAAAGGGATTTGAACCCAGGTCCCCTGCAACTCCGGTGAGGTGTTCTACTGACTAAGGTATCTGGCAAACGGCCATCGAACCCGACTGACCGTCACATATCTTTTGAATTACCGTTTACGCTTCAGACGAAAAAACAAGCAATTGAAATTATACAAGCAGGATTTTTAGTCATGATATACACCGTAGCATGAAAGGCATCTTTACCGAAACAATAACAATTAGTTGCAATAAAACTGTAAATCTCAATATTCTTTATGTTAAACATTTAAAAAATGTTTTTAAAAAACCACACAAATGTCTAGTTAAATATTGATTCCTTTCTGCATTTTAAAAAACAATCTTTTTTTATATTCCGGTTGTGACATTTAAATTTAACTTTATGTGAACATTTTATTAAGGTGTGTCTATCCTTCTATAATGCCAAAAGTTTTTGAAAAACCCGTAACTAACTTAAACTTTTACCCAATAGAACGATATCATTTGGAAGAATGCTTTTCAATAGGTGAAATAATAAACATTGTTAAGTAAAACAAATTTTAAAAATGTATATTCTTTTTATCAAATCAATTATTCAATCTTTAACAAATGTTGACAAGAGCAATGACTCCTTCTCATCTATCTTCATTCAGATAGTTTCTTTATTGCACTTCTGAGATAAAACAGTTTCCCTGACTTTCACAATTAAAAGTATATCATAAGTAGCAAGTAATACGGAACTTTCAGCATCAGATTTTATTTATGCATTTGAACCAGTGTTTACAAAATTGATAAATTAATACAATATACAAAAAAGTACTATTTCTTAAGCTTGATGTCTTGATGTTGAAACAAACTTCTGTTTATTCAGGTCTACCATTTTAAATAATATAGCATCATATACATTTTTTTTGTTGTCATAACTGATAAATTTAACTACAGTGTGTATTAAATGAAATTATATGCACCTTTTGAACTCTGAACCATTATAATTGTGAAGGTGGAGAGACCTTAATATTCTAATGTTTGTATCTTTTGCAGAATCAACAACAGTAACCACTCTAAGTAAGCATCTCAGTTGATTAATTTTTTCCTTAAATTAAAATTTCATTTTTTTTTTATTTGAATACATTCAGTGTTGAAATTAATATTTATTAAAATGATCAACAGTAATATATATATAATATTTTGTCAATTTAAAAAGTGACATACTTTTATTCAATCTATGACTGAGTTGTTGTTTACTTAAAAGGTGGCAGGGGTAACACAGGAGGAGCCGCCTCACTAGAAACCAAACTTCTATCAACTATCGTCACTATGTTGTCAGCCGCTCTAGTTTATATTTGATTCTCAGTAGAAACCTTATATATTATTATAACAGTAACTTGATCCGAAGGGTCGTATCACGTCGAGTTGACAGGTGCGGATCATAAGATCTAACGAGACGCGAAGCGTCGACTTTTATCTGATGATCCGCGCCTGTCAACGAGACGTGATACGGCTCTTCGGATCAAGTTACTGTTATAATGATAAATTTATTATATACCCCCTCATAACTGGCAAAATATAGCAAAAGAAAACTTTAGAGATCAATTGCATAACATTTATCCATAAAACAAAGCATAATAACAAGGGACTTTTTAACGTGCAAGAAAAATAACGTCATATTTCTGCGTACTACGTCATCAGTTTCAGAGAGTGGTGATATGGATTCAGAAAACAACATGTTGGTGATCCGGAAAATCGGATCACGACGTCACGTGATAGCGTAAATTCAACAGTAAAATTGGGTGATACACATTAGGTATATAATAAAAACTTCTATCAACTATCGTCACTATGTTGTCAGCCGCTCTAGTTTATATTTGATTCTCAGTAGAAACCAAACTTCTATCATTTACCTCATTATGTTGTCAGCCGCTCTCGTTTATTTTTGATTTTATATGCCATTTTACATTTTGTTTATATAATCTATGGTCAATTCATGCCTTAAAATGTATTTCGAACTCTCTTATCTATTTCTAATTTCAACAACAATATGAATTAAATCTCTAGGACAATTAAACCTCTTTATCATATTGATCAATGTTATCAAATTAACGCAAGTGCTACTTTCATTAATCTTTTTTTTATACTTTTCCATGAATCTGTGTTCATATATTTGTCATACATGCATAAATATGTAATGTTTGTTTTACAGTTCTGACTTTTAATTTGTAATAAAAATTAATTTATATCTTTGTTTTCATGACTTCTTGTAGTACCAGATCAATACGCGCTAACAAGAAGGTTATATGTAACACAAAAGTATCCGATTTGAAAAAAAGTATCCGACTTCTCGCGAAAACATTAACAGCAGTGAGATACTTTGGAAGTTCTTTGGTCTGTTTGACAAAAGAACTTCAAGGTACTTTGGACACAGATTTTAAGTTAATATTTTCTCTATAATATTACGACTTATATATTTTAATAGCATTTTACACAAAAATTAATAATAAAAAAAAAACCTTATTTCATTAACGTTATGAAAACTTCATTCTTTTTTTTAGGGGGGGGGGGATTTTCGGTCTTATTCGTGAGTTCCTTTTAAAAACCCACGAAACATGGAAAAATTTTATTATTAAAAAAACATAATCTTTCCTAAATCCAAAATTTCCTCATGACAAATCAAATCCAGGTTCAAATCCTTTGAAGTGAAAGATGAAGGTGATAGAAAGCTACTTTCTCAATAGACATCCATGTCTTAATTTTACATATCTTGTCATTTACAAAATTATTTTTTAAAAACATTCTGAGTATACACATAAGTAATCTGAAGTTGATATAACACATTTAATTTTTGATTTACAGTATCTTTAGAGATTAGGTTTTCCTAATATCTATTGCATTTCCATGGGTTTCTGTTTGCACCTTGTTATAAGCAGACAGGTTTTCATATCCATACGAAGCAGAATTATTCACAGCCTTTTAAAAACTTTCTTTCTGTGTTCTTTAATTCCCATTTAATTAAATGGTGTACGTTATGGAGGGATTTTTTATTTATCTTTTTAAGATTTTCTTTTTTCCTTTTAATGGAGATGAGAGCGTATAAACCGAGGCCCCGTGTCACAGCAGGTGTTGCACGATAAAGATCCCTCCCTGCTCAAAGGCCGTAAGTGCCGAGCATAGGCCTAAATTTTCAGCCCTTCACTGGCAATGCTGACGTCTCCATATCAGTGAAATATTCTGGAGAGGGACGTTAAACAGAATGCAATCAATCAATCAACGATCCATTTGATCTCAGTTTTGTCGAATGTGATGCTTGCAGCATAATTCAAGAATGGAGAGTTTCAAAACCATTTTTCTTGTTTGTTTGTTTTATCTGTTAACATGGTTAATAAATTCTCAGTTGTTTGAAGAATATTTATTTTAACTCCTGGAAGTTAATTTTGACCAAATAAGAATATTATATTACTTAAAGAAGTAGCACCAAGTAAGAAAAAAGATTATTTTAACCTGCGCATTTTCAGCGGGTACTGTCAAATTAAATCTCACTTTCCAAGAAAGTAAAATTCTGTAAGTTTCCAATATCCAAATATCCTTGAACTTGCTTTTAGCGTACATTCGGGCCATATGACTAATACTGTATTGAAATCAGCAATCTTAAAATCGGGTTTAATTCAAGTAAACCTGTTTAACATAAATAAAAACGAAAATAATTTTTTTTAAACTAAAAATTAATTAGATCTCAAGGAAATGTACCGCTAATCTGTTGTTACAATAAGATGCTGTTGAGACTAACAAAATGTTTTAGATTTGCATTTGATATTCTAATTTCAATGACAACACTTTCAGAACAAATTCAATCTCCCACTGTTCTTCAATTACATGTACTTTAATTCAATTATACCTCAGATATTATGATTCCATTCTGCATCAAAAGCAATACCCCGCGAGTAATGTTTAGACAGAATGAAGTATTTTATGCAACTCTTTAAATCGTATACAGGAAATACATGAAAACATTTACATTTTATATCAATTAAAAAAAAACACTTAATATTTCAAATTTTAAATCAAATCTGGATATCGTGAATACTAAATTTCCCTGGAAATAATAATATCGGAAGCAAAGCAGACGTAAACTTCCGGGGAAAAAAATCAAAAACTGGGATCAGGTGCCACTTAGGAACAACTAGCCCCTGTCCTCCGGCTTCGCTTGCCATTTGCTCCTTGGTCGGAGAAAGGAAAATGCATTTACAATTCTCAATTGAAAACACACAGATGTCGATCGACTGACCTTAACATGGTGATTAATGGATACTTTCTATGAAAATTCAATTTTATTTTTATTAAAAAAAAAACGCAGTGGGTTGGATAATAATCATATTCAACAATAATTCATGGGAGAAGCTTTTTTATCTCAGGTTTTATACAAGACTATCAATGTTGCACATGTAACGTTTTTACAAAGTACAAATAATTTATATTATAATTGGGTCCGCTTAGGATTCTTTCCTAAGAATCACGTTTATATCGAATTAAACAAACTTCAACAACAATGGCACTATAACAAGAAACTGACTGAAATTCACTATGTGTATATACTTTTTCCTCGGTCCTATCTGGATAAATGATTAGCGAACAAATATGAACTTAATGACAACGAATTATAAGAAAAGAATCAACCACAATTGAATCACTAACGATCAAGCAAATAATCAAATATGAAGTTATAACACTGTAGTTGCAGACTGAGTGGTTTAACCAACAATCCTGTTGTTTCCCTACACAGTCTGCAACTACCTAAAAAACACACCCTAAAAGTCACTGAGACACCTTTTATTAAAAGTCACCAAGACACTATTTTAAGTCACCAAGACACTATAGTCACTGAGACACACTATTAAGGAACTAGGTTCCTGAGCTGAGTGGTCTAACGAACAATTCTGTTGTTTCCCGACACAGCCCAAAAACCTAGTCCAGGAGGTGTTACTCGCACGATGAGTAACGACCAAGTAACCAAATACTTCATGGGTGTCTGTATTTATACTCTTTCTAATTCCTAATGATTGGTTGATGATTCTGAAACTCTGATTGGTTATAATATCAAGCGCTGATTGGTTAAATATAAAATGATATGATTGGACGATTTCAGAGGCATTTAGATCCACTATGATTATTCTATCATTACATTACCCACGCCTTCGAAAAAAATTATGCGGCCTCGCATAGGTAAATAAGATTAAAATAAGATAAAGTTATAAACATTGAACTTTAGTAGTATTTCCTTCCAAACTCATTTTTATTTACATATTCAGAAAGAGACGTTATCACTAAGATAGGCTGGTCTGCTTCTCTTTCGTTTGCCATCTGCCTGAAAACTCTCCTTTTCATATGTTTCCTCAGCATCTTCATTAATGTTTTCAGAAGAATCGGACATTGTATTTTCTGCAATGTTATTCGCTTGCAAAGGTTCTGATGTTAGAATCTGGTCTTTCAGTAGCCTTATCCTGTCAGTATGAATGACTTGGTTTGCACCTCTGTATCCACAGTTTACTTTATAAGTAACATCGGAACATTTCTCAATAATATCAAATGGTCCTTGCCAATATGATGTAAATTTGGGAGATGTACCAGCCTTACGTTTTGGGAAGTAAACGTAAACTCTGTCACCTGGCTTAAATGACTGCCAGTTCAATTTTCTATCATGATACCTCTTCTGTCGTTCTATACTCTCTTTTGTCATTTCCCTGACAACTGCATGTGCTTCTTCTAATTTTTCTTGTAACTCCCAAACCCATCTATTCTGTGGAATTCTCTTAATATCAGAACGGACCTCGTATAGGATATCCAGAGGTGTAGCGACCTCTCTACCTAACATCATTTTGTTTGGAGTTGCACCCGTGATTCGTGATTCGTGGACTGCTGCTCTGTATGCCATCATTACGTATGGGAGATGTTCGTCCCAATCCGTATGGTGCTCATTGACATAGGCTGATAACATAGTAGCCAGAATTTTGTTGAATCTTTCGACCATCCCGTCCGATTGTGGGTGGTACGGGGTGGTATGTGTTTTCTTTATATTCAAAAGCCGGCACATTTCTGTAAAAAGATTGCTTTCAAACTGGACTCCTTGATCGGAGTGAATAGTTCCAGGCACTCCAAAGCGGGCCATGACTTCTTCCACTATCACCTTAGCTACAGTTGCGGCTTCCATATTAGCCATAGGAAAACTTTCTGTCCATTTAGTAAAGTAATCCGATACGACTAGTATATATCGGTTACCATTATTGGACATGGGAAGTTCGCCTAATATATCTGTAGCAATACGTTCCATTGGTGCGCCGCAAGTGACAACTTGCATCGGGGCACGTTTAGTAGTATTTGGTGATTTCCGCCTTTGGCATTTTTCACAACCAGCAATGTACAATTTAACATCTTTCTGCAATCCTG